AACTTACTTCATGGAGCTGTTTAATTGTAAATCCATTCTATTTAAAAAGAGTAGTTTATGAACATGCTGTGTTCAAAGATTTATACAACCACATGGGCTGATCAGTTCTTCTGAACTAAAAAGATTGGGCAAAAATAAATTTATCTAGAAAATTTAAAAATGCTATGTTGCTCTTTAATATAATAAATAATTGTGTATCCATATACCAAGTAATATGTCATGCTAATAGAATAGCTCTGCAAATCACTACAGGTAACAGTGTAGCATTTTATTCCATATTCTGGAACATATTTTTCCAAATTGACTCAGTATGACAACCTAGTACCCCTTCTTTTTTTCAAGAAGGAAAAAAATTCAGAATTTTAAAAATATTTGTTCCATGACACTATTTAGTCAGCATATAGGTTTTTAAATGTTGCCTCAATGTTCTAAATTGAAAATGCCTATATAATTAAGCAGTGTATTTGGAATATGTGATGCATCAATGAGTAGGAATGACTCAACAGACAATGTGAGACTCTCCAATGATATTCCAAGAGTACAGCATGATTGATTTCTACTGCTATTGGTAATTTTGCATTCTCATACATAAATCATTTCCTTTTTTGTATCCAACAGCATGTATTTCAAACCAAAACTAATTAAGGCACTCTAATCAAAAGGCAAATGTATCGGACAAATAGGCCAAGAAATAATAAATACTTGTCATATCCATTTATAAATCTACTTGCAAAAGTTTTGTGGCTTCTGGTGGAAATATCTTCTATGGAAATGTGCTCTATGTTCTTTGCTTTAAGCAAAAGTTCTCTTCCTTATTACAATATCATATTAGGACTTCATATAACTTCCATTCACATCTATTACATTAAAATGACAGAGTTTTGTTCATCTTTTCTAAGGTAAAAGAAGATATCACATTTAAGAATCTTTCTTCCTTTCTTTGATTAAAGCATGACAAGCAGAGAATAGGATATTTTGAATTCATATCAGGAAGACGGTTTAAAATGTACAAAATTCAAACAGAAGAGTTGGTGTAGAAACAGATTGAAAGAATTAGCTTAAAAATGACACGTTTTAAAAAATGTTCAGGCACTGGGAGGATATAAATGAGAATGTTCCTTGTATTGTTCATGAAGAATATTAAACATACTGGCCATGTTAACATAACTGTTTTTGTTAATAAGGCAAGAATAAAGCAATTGATTCACATTAAAGTAACTGCAAAACTATATTAAAAAAGTCATCTGAAATTTATGCATTGATCCAGAGCAGAGTTATGTTCCCCTCGATTCTCCAGGTCTGGAAACACTGGGTCCTGAAGCGTGACCAATATGGTTCTAGCATCTCCTGTTCTTTGCCCTGTCACCTCATGAAACATTAACTCCTATCTTCCATGTACTACAAAATGCAATTTGAAGACTGGAGAAAAAGTTAATTTCTCCATATGCAGATTAACAAGTTTTGTTAGGCATAAAATACTAATACACATTAAACATACTAGCAAAGTCAATCTTTAAGGAGTTAATGAAAAAATTAATTTGTGTTTGTAGCAACTTACAAATGTACTCTAGACATCCATGCATTTATGTAAATCCAAACTTTACATAAAAGAGGTACCAAATGTTACCACATCGAATCGACGCATCATTTGATGCATACTTTATCAAGAAGGTCCAAAAAGCTTAAGTGAATCCTTCAGAGATTTATCAGCAAACAACATTATTAGAAGTAAGGGACATTTTGACATTTAATATATTGCTTCACTAACTTTAAAAGGCAAATTTAAAATAAGAATGTTAAAATTATTAAATGGAATTTCATCATAAGTCCCCTATTGAAGCTAAACAGAGAAGATGATTTATAAAATGATACATACGGTTAGTAGACCACAGAATGAATTTCCCTTTTGTATTAGAACACCAGTGAGGGAAAGTTTTGTTTTTCTTGATTCTTTTCTCTAAAACAGACATTCTGGTATTTAGGAGATAGAAATGTATCATTTGACCTTTACACTTCTGTTTCATTAATGTAACCACAAGCAACAGAGTCAGTGACTGACATGTTTGCACTTTCAGGCCTTTAGCACTTAAAGTTATTTGATAACTGTTATGCCACTATTTGCTTTTTATTAGAGACTTTGAGGAATGTGTTACATTAAAAATAGAGTATATTGTGTAAAGCTTAATAAATGATATCATGTAATTCAGTAAAGCATTCTCTTGAGCACTAGACTTTTGTACTCTGATGGGGGGGTGTATGTTTCAGGGTAGATTTTGTTTTGTTTTGTTTTCTAATGAATTAGAGAACAACATCATAAACACGATTCTAAGTATCGAAAGTACAAACATAAAATATAACTCTGTGACATTAATTTTGATGAAAAATATGTTACTTGACTTACACTCAATTAGTCCTTAAGCTCTGTTTGTATTGGTCTGTGAACAGAGCAAATACCAATTGCAGGAGAAGAGTCAGGATAAATATTTAACTGACACCATTTAACATTTTTTTGTTTTGTTTTGTTTTTGTTTTTTAACAGAGAGAGAATTTCTTGTAAATGCATATGTTAAAATAGTGTAAAACCTATGGACAATGTAAAAAGGTAAAAAATAGGATACTCCCTAGAGAATTCTAGAATTACCATAAGCAAATTATTTTGGGTAAAAAGTAATGCAGATCAGATTTTTGTTTCATATGACCAAAATAATTCTATTAAAAAAATAAATAAACGCTGTAATTCGTTAGAAACATCATTTAGAAAAGACAGAGAGTCTATTCTTTTAAAAAAGTTTAAAAGTCAAAAGTTCTCTAAAATAAGATATTACAAAACTCAGGATGTAGCATATAAATGGATGAGGCACAGTGTACACAAGTAAACAAGGACTGCACCAAACCAACAACAGTGGAAAGATACTGTCTCACTAGTTAGAGAAGCTTCACTAATGAAAGCAACGAGTGAACTAAACATAGGTCTCCTAGAAGCAGAATGTGGGTCCAGCTATTTAAATTAGCTGTAGTATTTATTAGACTGCTCATTAGAAACAAAATGCCAAGATATATCATCAAAAGACAAGTAGTCTGTCAAATCCTTTAGGTTGAAAATGTTAACGCTCATTACAAATAAGCAACATGATGCTGTAAACATATAGATTGCAGCTCCCATGATATGTGTTTGCAGCTTCTGAAGTGTTTTATCGGTACCACTGTTATTCAAACTTCCAAAACAAACTTAATATAAAGAAACTAAATATGAGTTTAATTTATATCCTCGGGGTGACCAAGAGTTCATCACTTTTATCAATAATGAAAAGGTGTTTTACTAAGTTATAACAAATTATTTGTTAATTTTGTATACATCCAGTGGCATTTTGTCTTTAAAGCAAAGACAACATATATTACAAAAGCATGTTATTCGTGTACATTAGAAACTATAACAGTATTCCACCTGAACTTGGACTCATAAGCTTGTTTCAGAAGCTGTAAGTCATGTACCACACCCAGATCTCAGATCATTAAATTTAAAACATGTTGCATGATTCAAACAGAAACATACCCCACTCTCTTTCACCTTAGACATGCCATGTACACCGATTTTGTGCAATTCAAACACATATAAGCCAACTACCACCCAGTGGAGAGAAAGAAGATCTTTCAGGAGATTTGAGGTGTATGTCAGGTGGGGGCATCAGGGGGAGAAGGGAGGGCGATGGGAAATGAAGGAATAAGGGCATTTAGCCTTGTTTAGATCTAAGCACTGCTGATCGTCAATTTATATTTTCACGGGAGAGAAACCGTTTCCAGAAGCTCACTCTGCAGTGTGGCTTAGGGGTAAAATCAGACTGTGGATGTTCATTAATGACAAACCATTTCAATGCTCAAGCTTAGGGAAAAGAAGGGAAGAATGGAGAGTGAGAAAAAGAAGTAAAACTGAAGACAGAAGAAGGGAGGAAGGAGGGAAGGAAGCGGGGACAGAGAGAGAGGGGGGAGAGAGAGAGACCGTGTGTACACATGTGTGAGTGACAGTGTGTGGAACAGTGAAGGAGTGTGTTCCTTCTAAACAGTAAAGAGGATCTGAATACGAAAGTGGTTGTTAGAGCATGGAAGTGCCAGTCTGTGTGAGGACGTGAAATTGAGAGTGAGGGAGCGTGTTTAAGAAGAGATTTGTAAGGGTGAGAATATGGTGCTGGAGGGGTTAGAGGGAACAGCTATGTGTGTGTGACAGCGATGGAAAAGACATGGGGAGAGGGGTGGGAAACGTAAGTCAAAAAAGGGAAGACAAGATCACAGAATAGAGGCATTAATGAGGAAGAAAAATGGGGAACGGGGAAAGGCGAAGAGTGGAGGACAGGCGGTTACATCAAAGGATCAGAAATTAGAGTGGTGGAGATAAAAAGGAGGAGAAAGAGAAAAGAATAGAGAGCAAATAGAAAAAGGACAAAAAAGGCAATAGAGGGAAAGGAGCGTAAGAAGGAAGTGGGATATGGAAAAAGAGAAAGGAGGGAGAAAAGAGAGAAGGGAGAGAGCGGTAAGAGGGAAGAAAGCTGAGAAGGGAGAAATTGAGCTCAGCGTCCAAGTGAGAGGGAAAACAAATGGGAGCAGGGAGCCAGCAGTTTGAAAAAGTCGCTGAGGCTCGAGCAAAACAGAAACAAACCTGATAAACTTGTCGGACTCTCCGAGAGTACCCCGCGACAGTAACACAGAGACCTGGTGAATTGAGTTTCAAAGTGGCACCAGCCCCTCCTAAAGCTCACACTTCACTCAGCCCCGGGCTACTTGGCGTTCCGGAACGTGCTTTAGCATCACGAGTCCAGCTTGCTACCTGTCCCAGCGTGCAGGGGCCAGGACTCCGGGCACAATCAGCACCTGCATTTCTTGAGATGTTTTGCTGGTGATCACCACCAGCATTACTACTGGGTTTAAAAAAAAAAAAAGTCAAGAAGGGTGGAAAGAGACAGAAAGATAGACCGAGACAAGTACGAAAAGCACGCCGTTCTTCCTACCTAAGCACCGCCGTGTCCCCTTTTCTGACCATCATGTTGTCCACAGCCGCCCAGGGGAAGTCCACACTCTGTCCAGCTGGGAGGCAGGAGGGTAGCAGGCAGCACAGGCTGAGGAGCACCGCCGCCAGCCACTGGTTCGAGCAACAAGCACCCTGCACCAACAGCATCATGTCCATCCCTGCTAGGGCTGCTCACTCTCCAGCAGCTTTCAGCTCGCACTCCCCCACCCCCTGGTGCTGGCGAATCTTCCCGGGAACCAGGCGGCGCGCCACAGGATTTTTTTTTTTTTTTTTTTTTTTTTTTTTTTTTTTTTTTGGTGGGTGGGTGAGTTTCTTTTCTTTCTTTCCCCCCCCCCCTGCAGTTGTTGGTGTTGTTTCTCTCTTTTTTTGCCTCCCCTCCTCCTCCTCTTCGCTTTCCCTCCCTCCCTCCCCTCCCACCCCCTGGCACCACACTACACCTCCTCTCGGTTGCTTTTGGCCGAGTCCGGAGCGTGTCTAATTCTCGGGCGGCTCGCACACCATCTAGCGAGGAGGCGAGAGCGCCGGCGAGTGAGGGAGGAGGCGCGGCGGCGGAGGCAGGGCGAGCCGCGGCGGCGGCGGCTGCAATCGCAGCAACAGCAGCAGCAGCAGCAGCAGCAGCGCTGGGCGCAGCGGCGGCCGGCGGCCCCCGGGCTCGCGCGCGTTGCCAAGCGGCCGTTTCCTTAGCAACCCCGCCCGGGGACTGGGGATGCAGCAGGGAGGGGGGAAAAAGGAAGGAAAAAAAAGAAAGAAAACGAAATCGGGAGGAGGTGTATCACAATTATGCAAAGTGAGGGGAAAAGAGACGCATCGTAGACAGAACGCTTCCCTTCCTGTCATATGCACTAGAGGGATGCTTTGCTAGAAAAGTCTCTGTGTCGGAGCCGAGGTAAAGGGAGCAGAGGGGCGCTTTGCTTTCCCTCTCCGGTGCGTTTCACCTCTTGAGGCACCGTAACTTTAAAGTCCTCCAAGTTGTGGTCGGCGCCATCATGACGCCGGGGACGGTGAGGTTTTGTTGTTGATTTTTTTCCAATCTCGCCTGGGCGGCCGCGCTACAGTTGACAAGCGGCCAACTAGTTCACTCTTTACCTCTTTTCGGAAATAGGTAGGGACGGTGGCCGGGGGCTGCTTTTTGAGGGGACATGATGGGTGCATGCAAAGCCTGGCGGTAGAGCAGCTGGCGTGTCTGTTGGGTCAGCCAGTACGGATTGGAGCCCCCACCCATCCGTGCGTGTTGACACTAAATTGTGTGTGCGTGTGTGAGGTATGGTCAGAGGGGAGTGTGTGTGCACGTGTGTTTGAGGGTGTGTAGTATGCGCGCACGTGTATGCGCGCGACTGGTGCGCGCGGAGCGTGTGCGCGCGCGGTACGCAGGCGCGCTGGGAGGGACGGGCTGGGTCGTGCCGGGATGCAGAGTCGGGGAAAAGACTGCAATCAAGGGTTTTAATTGTGTAGAGCCAGGCAGTCCTGTTATGTAAGAGGCAGTTTAATCCGTCTGAGCCTGTCAGGCAGAACGATCAGCCCATCCGAATCTAGGCAAGGCAAAGTTATCGGGTTTAACGAGTCACATGGTTATATTTTTCTAACAGCCTCCAAAACCAGGTTGGACAGGCTTCCTCCTCGGTGGCGCAGAGCGGCTCCCCCCTCTTCCCACGCTGCGAGCCGCTGTCCTGGCCCATGGCAGAATGGGGTGCTGGGCATGGGGCCGCCCCCTACTCTTTTCTGCTTCTTCCCTTTTTGAACTCTTTTCCAGATTCAAGATCCTTTCGCTGTTCCGGGCCATTTGCAGATCAATGCGAGAACCCACCAAGGCTGGAGTCAATAGCAGTTACGCCGATCAATCTTGTTCAGTGAGGAGTTTGGGAAGCAGAGCGGGGAAGTCAAGGAAAGAAACAAGTAATTAAAAAATATCCTCACCCCACCCCTCCCCCATTCTCCCATTCCTCCACTCCTATCCTCCTTAAGCAGTCTTTGAAGATTTTCCTCGCCTGACCCCAGTCCTTCTGCCCTTGGGGGAAATAAATAAAGCAAAACCTCTCACATCCCTAACTGGTTTTCCATAATGCTAGCAGTTTCCTTTGGCAAAGCGCACAGAAGCAATAATCTCTGCAGGGGTCAGCCTCCGGCTGCCTCCCCAGGCTGAGCTCTTTACGAGGCAGGCAGGGAGTCGTTTTCCTAGGCGGTAGCGGTGCTCGGAGTGATTTTTATTGCCGTGCATGACGATATATAGAGAAAGCGAAGCGTTCCCATCACCTGTGACCACCCAGACTGACTGATAGAGGAGCCCCTAACCAGCGTCACCTCCCTGCTGAACGAACACTCCAAGCCTCGGCGCTTAACCGAGACGTTTGCAGCAGGAGTTACTGATGTTATTAGTATTCAAGCTTAACTCTCAAACCTGGCTCGGAAATTGAGAGTGCAGTAGTATTCAACCGCATTTTGAAACGTCAATAAAATGTTAGTCATTTGCGGATGAATGAAAACATTTTCTTTACCTTCTGGTATGCTAGGGAAATAATTGTCAAATGACAGACTCTTGCTAATATTGATGCCAGATACCTAGATAACACTGTCATCTAGTTAACTGCGTTTTTCTTTCTCGGGTGGTACACTGATGGATAAAGCTTACAATTATCTAGGGCAAATGGGGGATTAGAAGAATTGACATGTCATATACATGGGCAAAACTATGCAGTCATTTATTTTCTCTAGAAATAACATAGATCCCATTGAAGAGAAGCAGAAGGCACAGCTTCCAGCACTGTGACTCGGTTTAGTGCTATTTTATGCAGAGATGGGGTGCCAGCGTTTTCTCCTACAAGCTGTGGAAAGCATCCTTTTGTAACTGCTGTTTTCCAGAGATCTGACATCTTCAGTGAGGAGCGGGGGAAGAAGGGAGAATTTCTGTGACCAGGGATGGAGCTATGCAGCAGTTTTAATATGTACAACAACCCTTCAGGCTTGTAAAAGGAAACTGGAACCACTTCTGTTTAAAGGCAAAGAGTTTATTTTCCTTATTTCTAGTTTTCATCTTAACTTCTATTCACTGATCACAAAGCACTTAACTCACAAAACCCATCCAAAGGAAACAATAACTAAACCGAGTTTATAGATGCATGGACTATCCGAGAGATTATTTATATGCACATCATCACTATTATTTAAAGCGAGTGCAAGAATGCTGAGTGGGGCAGCCTCTGTTACTACAGGTACTTTTGCTGTTTCTGGGTAGGGAGGAAAATGATTTTAAAAGCATTTATGACTTTCTTTTCCCCTCACCCTTTCTTTTTTTTTTTTTTTTTTAATAATTTTATTTATTTTTCCCCCAAAGCCCAAGTAGATAGTTGTATGTCATAGTTGCACATCCTCCTAGTTGCTGTATGTGGGACACGGCCTCAGCATGGCCGGAGAAGCGGTGCACAGGCCGCCAGTAGCGGAGCACGCGCACTTAACCGCTACGCCACGGGGTCGGCCCACCCCCTCACCCTTTCTAAGGGCATATATCTGAGAGGATTTTACAGGGTTTCTGGTGTTTGCTTTTGAGGTCCTAGACTTCTTCCAAGCAAAGACTTAAATCCTGGCAGTCTTGGCTCCTTCTGAGGGAAATCCAGCACAAAAACAACCAACCACAAAATGAAAGAAAGAAAAACCTCCCAGCTCAAACAGCACATAATTCCGTAGTGGATTTTTTTTTTTTTTTTGAGTATCAAGAATAGGTAACAGCATTGTTTGAGCTTTTTAGATGGTGAGGGTTGGAGTGGGAGTCCTAGGATACGTCCTTGGTCAGAGTTTTTAAGAACTGACATTGAAATGAATTACGCCTTCCTTTTGAATCCTGTACCTTTATTTTGTTTTCAAAGCTCAACTTCTAATATTTGAATAAATGCAATAACCAGTGTAGAGTTAGTGTGGAAGGAGAAAGGCGGACCCTGATTGTGAAAACTGATTACGCCATTGTCTAGATTGGTTTACACACTTGTTTTTCACGCCCTCCGACCTCAGGGATGTTGGAAGGGTAATGTCACAAAGAAGCTTTGTAAGCTGCCTTAGTTTAATAAGCTTGATTTTTACTTGGCGGTATAAATGAGATTGTTATTATGGAAAAAATTAGAATATAAATTCACATTTTTTCTGATTGTAAGTGAGTAAACACAGATACCGCTTTCGTGCTATTATCCGCTAGGCCTGAGAAATTTTAGGCGAGACAGATCCCAGGACCTAATGGAAAGGGCTAATGCGAACACTTTGTAATTCCTGAAGGAGTTGGTCAGGGAGCCCTTATAAACAGGACATATGAATAATAGCTCTCCAACTTGAGCCATAATTGATTCTTTATTTGAATTAAGCTGGCTCAATCTTGGAGCACCTTGCCCACTTAAACTGACCTGTAGTGATGATTTGCAAGTTAGTGTGAGAACTACAAAGCTCGGGAAATTTACTGGGGGCAGGAAAATCTTCCTTTATGGAAAGGTTTCTCAACCTAGGCACTTTTGGGCCAGGTAATTCTTTGTTGTAGAGACTGCCCTGTGCATTGGAAAATGTTTAGCATCACCCTAGGCTTCTACTCACTAGATGCCGTTAGCACCAGTAGATGCCAGTAGTTATGATAACCAATTTTTCTGCAGACAGAAACCAAAATTTCTCCAGGCATTGCTGAATGCTGTGTGGATTAGGGGAGGGGGGAATGCCCCAGATTGAAAACCATTCCATTATAGGTTACATTTCTGAAAATATATACCATCTTGTGCTTTTCAAATAAAATAATAAAGCAGACTTTTAGTCAAAACAAAAGTATTTTATTCGAATCCTATAGCTACAAAAGTAGCTCCTCAACATCAATTCAGTCTCTACATTTACAGCTAGGTAATTGAGTGGCCTAGGTTAGCAAATATGTAAGTAATTTAATGGCTGACCATAAATATCTTTCTGTGATTTCTCCATAGGAGCTCTTCTATTTAAGCCAGAGTTGAATGGATAGTTCTCATTTTTAAAAATTGTCATTTTGTGGTTGTTTAAAAAAAGTGTAATTAAATGGTGAGCTGCTTTTGGGCGAGAACTGACTTAAATCTTTGTATTTTTTATATGGTGACGGCTGCAGAGGATGCACTCAGGATGTGGCTATTGAATAAGGAGAGGGAAAACAAAGTAATTTCCCTATTGAATCACTCTATGTAAAAATCATGTATTCATTCATTTACCATTTTTATCACCTTATCTATTAAACACCAGCTCTGATGGTAAGCAAAGAGGTAAGAAGTGGAGGTGGGGGTGTTGCAAGGATACCCATGCTACT